GACGAGCCGCGTCGTGCGCGTGGCGCCGAACAGGTCTTTCAACGGCCCGTGGCCGTCCAGCAGCTGCGGCGCCTTGACCATGGGCAGGTGCGGGCAGCGCGCGGCGCAGTTCTTCGTCCGGGATCCAGCAGCCACAGCTCGGCAGCGTCCAGCCCGAAGTCGTCCCGGCAGTCCACCAGCAGCAGGTTGACCAGCTCCTCCATGGACCCTCACGGCGATCAGGCGCCGCTCCAGCGCATCGAAGCGATCGAGCTTGCGCTCGTTGGCCGTGGCGGCGTCCAGCAGCGACTGGAGCTGGCGGCGCAGCTCCTGGACCTGGGCTTGGGGGTTGGCGGTCGCTGGTGAGCTCATGGTGTGGCCGCGATTGTCGCCGCCGTATCGTGCACGCCCGACACCGCGCAAGCATTCCCTCCCCTGCGCGCACGGTAGACCCTGCACGAAAAGTAAGCAAAGTTGGCGTGCTTACCACACCGACCCCCCCGGCTAAACCCCTAATTCCCAAGGCCAGCGGCGTGGCTGGCCCGGGCGGCCCCGGCACTGTCGGCAACATGCGCGCGTGAGCGCACCGCCAACGAAACGTCTCGCAGGGAGGCGGCGGGAGTCTGCGCCACGACAACCAAGAAACGAAGAAAGTTGCCATGAAGAAAAGTCTGCTCGTCATCTCCGCCGTCGGCGCCATGTGCCTGGGTCTGTCGCAACAAGCGATGGCCCGTGACTTCGGTGCCATCTACCAGCAATGCGGCCTGGGCGGCGCGATGAACCCCGACTCGCCCGGCTGGGCGGTCAGCACCAACATCACCTGGGACTGGGGCACGACCGCCATCATGTCCGACGTGTCCTCGCCCGAGAGCTGCAAGGGCGGCAGCGCCAAGAAGGCGGCCTACATCCACGAGGCCTACCCGAAGCTGGCCCAGGACCTGTCGCGCGGTGAAGGCAAGCACCTGACCGCCCTGATGACGCTGGCCGGCTGCTCCGCCGACACGCAAAAGACCGTCGCCACCGGCCTGCGCGCCGACCTCGCCGTGCTGACGGCTGCCCCGGGCTACGCCGGC